CTCATGTTTTTCAAACTACATCCTAGGCAAGATTAGAGAGTGCTGGTAAGGAATTGCACTACCAATACAAAATACATGGTTCAAATCCACCAGCTGTTCCATGGGAGAAGGATGGGCAGTCTCCTCCCATGTGATTAAGTGCCTCTAAAAACTTGCTGAATGGTCAGCAATGGGTGGGTTCCAACTTGAAAGTATCCAACAATAGTCACAATTGGAAATACTGCTAAATGAGAGAGTAATTGACTATTAGACTTTTTAAAAGTAGACAGCTGGGTTTATATAATAATGGCGATAAAATGAAACTTTCAACGTAGATTCTCAGAATTCAGCCAGAAGGCTAGAAATGATTTGAGTTCTTGCTAAGTCAACATTATTTGTCTTCCCTAAGTCTGGAAGTACTGTCCCCAAGTCTATAAGCACTAATATAATATTTATAAAGGAAAATATGCCCTTGAAAACATAAGTATTAATTAACTCTTTTAAACAAAACTTATTTTTTGTTTGGCATTGCTGTTTCATTGTTACTTTGTTCATTTCTGATTGACCCTTAAGATAGACGGCACTACAGTACCATACCTCCAACTCTTAAAGTAAAAGACAATAATCAAATGCTACGTATAGTAGGATCACTCTACATCTCAGGGGCTGCAGAAGATCCTTCTTTTGGGCAAAATTGTCAGGCTCTTCCAACAATTCTTTCTACAGGTGTAGGCAGTTTATTCCTATAAAATCCATCATGTGAGGTCCACCTGTAAAGAATTTTTTAAAAGGTATCGCAATGAATAAATCATTACATGTACAAAAGTCAGTCATTAAATCTCCAGACTCATTTCTCTCTCCAAGACCATACATTGCAACTACCATTCCTTCTGCATTGTTTCCAATTTTTGCATTATGGTCATAATAATTATTAATGCATCTTGACTGCAAAAGTTAGTGGAGAACCTCAGTCTCCTCCTCTTTCGCTTTTGTATTGATACATATATTTGAATAATAGTTGCTTTAATAAGCCTTCATGTATGTGTATGGATAGTAATCTATCACTTAGAACAAATCTTAGGATAAATCTTGAAATTTTTAACTATGAATGCAACACCATTATTCTTTAGTGTTTCTTTCCAGGCATGATAATGTGATTGTCTGATTCAGAGTGGCTCAGTGCTGCAGACCGAGGGTCCCAAAGAATATAATAATTTTATAATTATTAATGAGACAAACATCCAGGAATGTGATAGAGCAGAGAGCATAAAACAGGGAGTCAGCAGTTCTCGCCTGAAGACCCCAAGTCATGTTTCTCTGTGTATTTATTGATAATCTGGGGAAGCAAGTAACAAAAGGAATTTCTTGTAAATGAAGGCTCTATTTTTCTCTATTGTCAGCCTAATGCTCTAGCTCAGGAAGTATTTCCCAGGAAGTAACACTCTGTAGGAGGGCCCTAGCTGTCTCCTGTCTGCAGGAAACAAACAGCTCATTTTCTATGATCTGTCACAAGAGAAATCCTAATTTATAAATCTGGAATTCCTTCAATTCCTGAACAAGGGTGTTCATATAATATAAAGTTTGGCTTCCCATAGCTCAGGCCAGTTCGTCTCAGTTCACTTAATAATGTCTAGAATGGTGATCTTCATGAATTCCGCTTAATTTTTTACAACTTCCAATTTTCCTGCATCCATGCTTCATTTATTCCACTTTCCATTACTAAAGAATGCTTATAGCTGCTTCTCCTCATTGAAGTGATTTCCAATCTGGATTCTATTTCCAATTCTATATTCCTTCGTTGTTTATAGGATTTTCAGAAGCCTGTTATTTCAGAACTGGATCACCAATGTTGCTTCCTAGTCTGTCTTAATCTGGGAGCTCTGCTGAAACCTGTCCACCATGCATGACCCTTTTGGTGACATATTTTCCAGCATCACAGCAACCCACAAGTTACCTTAGTACAGTAAACTGATAAACAAGTGCAATACTAATAAGAGCAAACAATAAACAAAAAAACATATACACACCTAATCTCTTTAAAGTAATTAACAACATATAAATCATTCCCCTATACAATGAACTGGTAGATAGGTGTTGTACTGTTGTTTGCAAATCTGAGAGAAAGAAGGTTGTCCTATGCCATAATATTTGTACACTTATTGACCTATGTGGCTAGTAGGATTTTTCTGTCAGCAACAGTTTAAAAACCCTTAAAGTAAGCATTATTGTTGTTGTTGTTGTGTGCCGTCGAGTCACTTGCAACTCATGGCGACCCTATGTACAACAGCCCCAAACCCTGCTCTGTCCTGTGCCAATCACACTGTCTCTGACAAACCCACCTTGATTACCCCAGTCACTGAATCAATCCACCTCATGGAAGATCTTCCCCTCCTGTGCTGTCCTTCTATCCTACCAAACATGACGTCTCTCTCCAAGGACTGGTCCCTCCTTGCAACATGTCTGAAATCCTTGCCTCCAAGGAGCAGCCTGGTTTAGCATTCTCCAGGAAGAATCTTTTTGCTTTCTTAGCAGTCCATGGTACACTCAGTACTCTTCTGCAGCACCACAGCTCAAAAGCATCAATACTCTTTCTATCCTCCATAGTCATTGTCAAAGTAAGCATTAGTATAGATTTTTGTTGGTTTGGGGGGTTTGCACATAGGAATTTATATTACTGTGACAGTTTCCTTGAAACACAAACTCTTGGCCATTCCTTTCTGCTTTTGTATAAAGCCAAAAGAGATACATTGGCCACTTTGAGAACCTTGAAGCAGACTCCAGCAATGCCACCAACAGCATGACCTCTGCAACCAAATCCATTAATTTCATCATTTTTTTTTTTCGGTAAAATTTAAGCAGTCATCATAGAACATCAAATGAACGCTGTGATTTTTTTTTTGCTATTCTTTTTCCCCCCTCTACTAGTTTATTTACAAAATTTGAATGCATTGTTTTCAAGAACAAATTCTTTCAATTTCCCTCACCCCCCCCCATCAAATTATACAGCCCCATGTTTAATCCCTCCTCCCCCTTCACATCTTCATCCCTCTGAGTCCAACCTCTCCCTCCTCTGTTGGATCCTTATACTCATTCTACAATAATGGTTTTATACAGTATTTATCCTTGTGGGACTGAGTTAGTTTGCTCAGCATAATGCTCTCCAGTCCCTCCCAAGTTAGGTAATAATTTACAGACCCATTGCTCCTGCGTGCTGCATAGTATTCCCTTGTGTGAATGTACCATAATTTCTCAATCCATTCATTTTGTGGTTGGACATTTGGGCTACTTCCATGTTCTAGTGATGGTAAATAAAGCTGCTGTGAAAATCTCAGTTTGTGCCTCAGTTCTCATTTTCTCAGGGTGTATCCCAAGCTGGGTCATACGGAATTTTTATGTTCAGCCATTTGAGGAAGAGCCAAACTGCCTTCCAGATGAGCTGGACTCTGATACACTTTCTAATGGCAGAATGTGGCTGCTTAGCCTTAATATCCACTTTTCCCAACACAATTGTCTTTACAGGAGAAGTACCTCTGCACGGGTTGGTCTTCAGAGTTATGACCAAATGGGCTTTTCTGTACTGTTTATCATGCCACTTCTGTTGCATTGTTGGCTGTGCAACTTCCTGGCAGCACAAACACCTCAACACTTGTAACCATGTTGGTGTGACCACGGATCCCAGTGAAAGAAAGAGAGCTCATCTAGAGTTTTGAAATTTTCATTAACTCTTATATGTAATTAAGGAAGGGCTAGAGGTGTGCAAACAATCTTTTTCTTTTTTTTTTCCATTTTTCTTTGAAAAAGCTAATCTGGTCTTGAATTTTAATATGAGTGTCTTTGAAGTTCTATGAATTTCTAATCCCTGAAAGTCATAACCTGATTCAGGAAGAGTTGAAAAGCTGTCCAGCGTCCCTATCCCTACCCAGCGTTTGTATTTACAGAGAGAAGAAATAACATCACAGAGAATTTCAAAACCATACTTAACATAATTAGCCTCTTGATAAATAAATGTTGACTCTACTCCCTTTTATTTCTGAAAGGAATGATATTTGTAAAAATTTTCTGACCTTTTGCTATATCTAAAGTAGAAGTACTTTAGTCTGTCTTGATTTACAGACATTATCTTACATGAGAACAAACAAACAAATAAATCTTCTTGCCATCAAACTGGAGCCAATCCATAGCTGACCCTACAGTGGGTTTTCAGAGACTGCAAATCACATGGAAGGAGATTGCCCGTCTCTCTCCTGCAGAACTGCTGGGGCTTCAAACCACCTGCCTTTGGGTTGCTAGTTCAACTCCTTACCCATAAAGTCACCAAAGGTCTTTGACATTTTAAAATTTTGAAGTAGAGAATGAGAAATTTGCAGTGGTTACTGGGGAATTCTTAAGGCCAATCCTGCCCTGTCATATTGTGACATATTTTGTAAGAAACAGCATGAGTTTTCATATAAAAGATATACTGTTTTGTTTTCTGAACAACAGAAATGTAGAGAACCATTCATGTTTTCTTTGGACCCGTGAAAAGTTCTTTTATTGTGTCTGCTAGCCTGCTGAGCTAAAAATGTACCGTGAACTTGGAATCTGCTGCTGCACTATGTGTATTTGTATTATTATTACTATTATTAATCTGTAATTCTGTTCTAATCTCTTATCTTACAACTTTCAGTTGTAGCCTTTGGAGTTTCAAGGAAAAAACCCCTAAAGTTACTTGAGAATGGCACAAAACCCCAAAGGGTGCATATGTGTAGACAGCCACATTGGACTATTTATTGCTGACTTAGAGTGAACTACCCCACTGGTACCCATTTTAAAAAGCTCTAATGGAGTATCTGCCTCAGCTTTATCTGCATGCACGTCTGTATGAGGTACCCTGCAATTGCAATGGAAGGAAGGTACAGATATCTTTTCTCATTGAAAAAAAAAAGTGGAAAATTTAAGAGGAGGAACCTCTTAACCACACACAAAAGCAACATATGTGATTTCACTCTTATTTAATAAAGCAAATACTTTTCTTTTAACAGAGGAATTCAAGGGCTCCACGGTCGTCGAGTTGATGAAGAAGGAAGGTACCACCCTTGGCCTGACAGTATCTGGAGGAATTGATAAGGATGGCAAGCCGAGAGTGTCTAATCTGCGGCAAGGAGGCATTGCTGCCAGGTAACGGCATCGCTGGGAACTGGAGAAATGAGGAACAGAGGGTGTAATTAATTCAAAAAATTAAAGCTTCATTAGGAAAGGTTACTAATAAATAAATGACAGCTCCCATTGCCTGGGCAGCACCTCTGCTCAGATGCACAGAGGACTGTTTCAGAAGCTGCTCAAAGGTCTGGCCAGGTGGCTTTTCTGGCAGATGTCAGAGTCACCAGGGAGACTATCCTGTCATCTCAGGAGTAGCCAAGGCTTCATAAGTCTCATATGCATTTCAAAATGTCTGTAATCTAGTCCCAGATGAGCCACCACACAGCGGTGGGGAATGAGGTTCTTGGATCTCTAACTGTGGAATCGATGGGCTATATGAAGGGAAACAGTAATAAATAGCCCAGCGTGAGTGGGAAGCCCAACTCCATGTTTCTAAGTAAAAATTTCCTTGTCCCGCCTCTTTTTTTTTTTTTCTCTGCTTATGGGATTTTCCCTTTGCATCAGGACCAAAGGCGGCTTCTGAAAATGCAGATGCTTTAGAGCAGGATGTATCAGTTTGCTCTTCTTCCCATGAACTTGAAACTGTACCTGTACTGACAGTGATAAAATGGCCTGGAGTGAAGGGGACAGGAAGGTTATAAAGAAGAGAAACAGCTTACTTTATAGCACAAGTCTCAATTTACCTCAGAAAGGGACAGAATGGTCAGGTTTCATTAAGAATGAGTTGAAAGTACCTTAAGACCTAGACACCGATACTCTTGTCCACAATCTCAAATCACGTTTTAGAGCTCTTGCCTCACACAGTATGATCTCAAATAGTGATGTCTGTGGATGATCTACCTTTTCGTACAATTTATAAGCTTAACTCAGTAGAGTGCTCCTCAGACTGAAGGTATTGTTTGTAGAACTCACAGGACTATGATCAGCTTAATCAGTTTTTTGAGGCTTTTTAAAGCCTTCTTTCCACCCCCTCCCCCCTTTATTTTATAACAGTCATGGCAATTCGATGATGCTGGAACTTCTTTTGTCTCCAGAGTTTCTCCAGAGGTAGGCCTTGAAACAATGAGAATGAAAATGAGAAAACAATGCCAATGTCAGTTGGAGTAAAACTGTGATTAAAAATAGTATTATGCCTGTTTTCTATCAGCCAACTATTTTTTTCTTCAAGGCATTGCCATTTTACAGATAATAAATCAAATTAGCTAAAGATAAGATCCCTGCTCAAAGGAGCTTATCATCTATTGTAATAGGGAGATAATGTATAAATAACTTGAAACCTTTGAGAGCAATAACCATGTGTTGTATAATAATAAAAAGCAGCAGTGCTTCTGAGTTGTCACAGAGCAGCATCTGGTTAAAGTCACCAAATGAGTGACAGTAAACCCCAAGTGAGAGCCACAGCATAGCCTGTGGGCTGGCTGGGGTCGGGAAGGCTCTCAGATGGAAGAATGATTTGGGATAGACTTATATAAAATAAATTAATTGGATATTTGCATTTTGGGAGAAAATGTTACTGAAAATATTTTATCAGTGATGTGAATTTTAACTCCTTCACCTGTCTGATCTTAGTTTAGAAGTAAATGTCACCCAAGCTTCAAGCTTCGATCATGGTAGTGAAGATAGATGGGCACATCACTGAAACCGAATATTCGCACAGTGACTAGAGTAAATAGAAAGGAATTGATGCCTTTGAGCTGTGGTGCTGGAGAAGAGTGTTGAATATACCATGGACTGCAAGGAGAACAAACGGGTTTGTCCTGGAGAGGGTGAAGCCAGAATGTTCCCTGGAGTCAAGGATTCTGAGGCTTTATCTGACATATTTTGGGCATGTTGCAAGGAGGGACTTGGAGACGGACATCATGTTTGGCAGAGTGGAGGGGCGGCGAAGGAGAGGAAGACCTTTGATGAGATGAATCGATTCTGTGACTAGAGAGGTGGGAATAAGTGCGTTTGAGATGGCTAGGTTGGCACAGGATAGAAGAGCGTATAGAGCTCTTGTACATAGGGTCACTATGAGTCGCAAGCGACTCGATGGCACATAACAACAACTTTGTTCTTAGCCAATATTCTTTTATCTGTCCTTGGTTAGCAATGAATAGCAAAATAAGCTAACTTATTTTGTCCCTGGACAAATTCCCAGTGAGGATACTGTAAACTGAACATTCCAAAAGGCATGGAGGAAAATGAAAGTCATTGAGAAGAAGGGAGAGAACATGGTGTGCTCAGTCTCTGAGTAATCCGCCCTAGAGGAACAACTTTTTATGGAAAAGCAAAAAGTTTAGGGGAAATCTAAACATCAGCAGACAGAGTGTAGGAGTTCTGAAGTAGAACAGGCAGCACAATTAACAAAGGCCATTAAATGCTTTATCCCATCCAACCTCTACAGTCCTGCACGCTTTCCCTGAGGGGCCAGCCATAGCATAGATGGCAGGAATTTATCTTCTTTCTTGAACTTCTTCATGAGAGGAAGGCCCTCTATGAGGTGGATTGATTCAGTGACTGGGATGATTGGGATGGGAGTGTCAGAGACAGTGAGATTGGCACAGGACAGAGCGGAGTTTAGGGCTGCTGTACATAGGGTCGCTATGAGTTGCAAGCGACTCGACGGCACATAACAACAACAACAACAACAACAACAACATGTCCACTCATGAGAGACAGTGGAAATACCATCCAACTAACTTGTGTAGAAGAAAAGTCCATTGTATAGACATTCTCTATTTTGCAGAAGCGATCAGCTGGATGTGGGTGACTATATCAAAGCAGTGAATGGAATCAACCTGGCCAAATTCCGCCATGATGAGATCATCAGTTTGCTAAAGAATGTTGGGGAAAGAGTGGTCCTTGAAGTCGAGTATGAGCTCCCTCCAGTCTGTAAGTATTCACAACTGAGGAACCAAAAGATTCCATCACGTTTTCTTTTTCTGAAGGAGTTCATTCTCTATTGTTTTTGCAACCAGTATTTCATTTTAGGAATAACAGATTCCATTTATTTTATTGATAGTTGAGTGGGAGGGAAAGTATAACCTACTCAGAAAAAAATTAAAAAACATAAATAGCAATGACTTATTAGAGGATGAGTGTTCCTTAAGGTGGTCTGTGAATGTCATATAATACAGAATATAAAGGAGTGTTAGGAGGCTAGGTTGTGTTACCAGTTAAATGTCAGTAGAATTTTTGTGTGGGCTCAGTGCAAAAGACTTAAAAATAATGATTATGTACTTAACTGCTGCAACCAAGTTTATTTCAACTTGTAACAACCCTCTGTTGTGTTTTGGAGGCTATAAATCTGTTATTTTTTGAAAGAAGCTGTTTATATTTCTCTCTCGGACCACCTGGTGAATTCCAACCTCTTGCCTTTTTGTTAGTGCAACACATAATGCACCACCCTACTTGAGGTCCTTAGCATGTACTTGATAAGCAACAAATCATAACTATTATTATACATAAAGCACTATTTTTCCCTTGACTTTTATTATTATTAGTATTAGTATTATTAGTATTAATTTCAATGAACATCTATAGAGATTTTGGAATTCCAGCCATGCATTGTTGCACTTTTCTCCCTGCCCACCCCACCTCCACCCCCAGTTCACTCCTCTCCTTGAAAAGCAAA